CCCCAAAACCCCAAAACCCCAAAACCCCTCCCTGTATTATCAAAATTGAAAGTTTATTAACAAATGGACTGATTGTGAAGACCCAAAGGTAAGCCCAAAACTTTGGATAAAACAACTAGTATGAATCTAAACAAGCCTCAGAAATTTAGAAGAAGATTTCTCAATGCCATGCTCTTAATTTGGCATATAACAACCCTTTTGCTAAGACTTGGGGAATTAGTAGCATTCCACTAAACTTGGTGGTTACACTTCATGTTTGAAATACGAGAAATACTCAAAGATATCACACCAGTAGTTCTAATTAATGCTTCTTAGCCTAGGTGCTAAAAGGAAACTAGAAGATGAGAATTAACTGAATTTATGAAATACTTAAAGTTCTCGACCAACCCTTTGTGTCCTGACATTTTCCTAATATGTTATTTTAGAGAGCGTGAGTGCCCACGAAGAAGAGTATGGCACGAATGACCACAGTTTATCAACAAGGATAACCTTCACAACAGAGGCAAATAAGGGCGTTAACAAGGACTATCACTCAAATTTCCAATATGTCCCGAAGGCAGGCAGTCCACATGTTGATGACGATGATGCGTCAACCGTGGAGTTTAACAAAGACTCCTCTGGGCTCAGTGATTTCCCTTCAAGAAGCGATTTGAGGCTCAATCGGGTTATTTCATGTCAAATTGAGGAAAGCAAGAGTATTGCTATAGTGAAACCTAAAGCCATCTCTTCAAAGAATTTGTTCGAAGAAGCCAGACTAGGAAACTCTTTGATTCCTGACCCTAACCATAAGTGAAGTGTTAAGGACTTCGAATTCCTCGGGCTCCTTGGAGAAGGATCCTTTGGAAAAGTCTTCCATGTTGCCCGAAAACTAGATGGAGAGGAGTTCGCACTAAAGGTTATGCGCAAGGTGGCCTGTAAAAGTATCAAGTAAGTCTCTATTCTGCCTCCAATGATTCATTAAAATTTAAATTCCTAACTTGTGTGTACAGGGAACGTATTCACCGGGAAAGAACCTTGATGATGGATATAAATCATAATGGAATCATCAAGTTGCATAATACTTTTCAAGATGCTAAATAAACTGTATTTCCTGCAGGAGCTAGCTCCCAATGGGGAGCTATTCACCTTCATGAAAAATGAAGAAGTCCTCCAATTCGCTCATGCAAGATTCTTAGCCGCTGAAATTTTAAGCATGATCGAGTATCTTCGTTCAAAGAAGATCTGTCATAGAGATTTTAAGCCCTCTAATTTGTTATTTAACTCTGAAATGAGGCTTAAATTGGCTGATTTCGGGTCAGCCAAATCTTACAAGGATCAGGAAGGCAACTCAGAAGAGGATGATAATAGGCAATCTGGTGGCTCAACTTCTGATAAATGAATTCGGAGAATGAACTCCTTTGTTGGAACTGTAGAGTATATGGCTCCAGAGGTCATCCAAGGAGCATCCAGAATTGATGGATGAGACTTATGGTCTCTAGGAATAATAATATATAAATTCTTCGCTGAAACCTCCCCTTTCATAGGAGAGTTTGATGAAGATACCATCAGGAAAATAGAGGAGGAAGATCTTGTTTTTCCAGAAAATTTCCCAGATGTTGCTAAAGACATTTGCAAGAGACTTCTCGTCAAAAATCCAGAAGAAAGACTTGGGTGCGGCCGTCATGGAACAGAGCTAGATATGTTCTCACTCAAAGCCCATCCTTTCTTTGATGGGATTGATTTTGATAACCTGGAGAATAGTGAATCTCCAGTACCTATTCCTACAGTTTTAAAATCCTCTGTCAAGGTGAAAATAATCGAGGAATTAAAGAAGTCTGCTAACACCTCTACCAATGTGACATCCCCATGAAGCATCGATATGCATAATTTCACGACTGCTTGAAAAAATGTAATGGGCAACAACTTAAGCCCTTGGAAAACTTTGAAGGAATTTCATCAAAATTCTCCTCAGTATAACATCAGAGTTCTTTTCCAAGGGCCTATAAAGTATAGATCAAGGCTATTGATAAAGTACAATTCTGCCACGGCGATCTTCACTGACGAGCCTGCGTTCTACCTCTACTCCCAGACCAAAGGTGTGTTGAAGACCAGGTATAGTATCCAGAATTACTATTTCTCACAGAAAAATAAAACTAAATTTTATCTGAAAGAGCAAACTTCGAAGAACAAGCAGGCTGAAGCATCTTCTGAGGAAGACACTTCCCATAAGCCTAGTAAGTTTAAGACATGTGTCAGAAAGGTTACTGATGACGCTACTGACTCTCCTTCAGACCTAATCTTCTTGCTCAGCAAGTATTGTGCACAGGAGTAAGAGCAGTTTATGAAGCTTGAACCATGAAATCTATCTTATACCATAATTCTTCAACTACGACTTGAGCAACTGGGGTTTTGGGGTTTTGGGGTTTTGGGGTTTTGGGG